TGAGAAAGGCTAACTACCAGTGAGTATTGTTTCCTTTGAAATGACCGTGAATATAAAGAGAATCCAAGAGAAGGAGAAACACACCTCAACTATCATACAAAACCATACGAGAAGCTCATAACGTTATGATAAAACAGTAGAAGATTATTCCTTTTTCATCACATAAAAGGTTTCTGACGACATGAAATCATCCGCAGAAGAAGATATTGGATAAGTGAAAGTTAGCGAAACACAAAAAAGATGTGAGTAAATCGACTAATAGATCGATAACTTCGAAAACTGGTGAGTCGTATTCAGTGCAACACCTCACAAACCATATATTTTAGTTTCAACTCCTCCGATTGCCTTCTAATGACATGATCTGGGGCACATCACGCGAAGATAACCGCGGTAGCGAAAGCTATGAACAGGCCTTCTTGTGCACGCAAAAGTATGAGTACAGTAAAAAGTGTAGAAAAATCTCTCAAAGTTAAAAAGCAAAGCAAAATAACTCACATGTATCTTCTTGGTGTCCTCACGAGGAACGATATCGATCAGAAAATCAAAATGCTCGAATCTGCTGGCTGCAGCGGCAATATCTGACTGAAAAAAACTCGTTCCATAACGTTGTGGTCAAAAATTTTCCTTTCTTTCTCAAACAGTGGTTGAAAGTTAACATGCAAGAAATTCTTATCCTCACTACTTCTAGTAGTGTTCCAATGTTATAAATATGTACATAAGAACGTTGAGTGTAGTGCAAAACATTAAACCCCAAGAGAGAGTTGTATGCGCCCTTCATGGGTGAAACACGGGTTCAACTCTCGCCTTGTTTTCGAATATTTTGCATATCACTCGAAGTTCTTAGATGACCAGATGTTCAGTACCTTCTGAAGAGTTTTACGCCGACCTTCTTCGACCAATTGCCAAGCACGTAGAGTTAGCTCTTGAATAAACATTTCTGAAGCGGCAGCCAAAAGCAACGGTGCGTCCGAACTTATCATCTAAATACAACATACGAAATAAAGGCATAATCCTCTCACTCACCTAAACTTATTTGCACGACCTACTTCGACAAAAAAAGTGCAAGCTCAACAAGACATCGCTTGACAAAAATTCCAGGGATAAGGACTTATCTCCATGGATTTCCGTGACGAAGAGATTTGTCACCTTCTAACTATGTATTCTCTTGGACGACTATAATTCGAGGTACTCGAGGGTGAAATGCGGGCTCGATTCTCAGCTGACGGAAAAGTATTTGCTAACCACTCTACATCTTTGGATCTATTGTAACATTATACCACCGCTATAAGCGGTCAAATGAAAAGTTCTCAATTCGAGGTAATGTTTCAACTTTGATTCTCTCATGAATATCTACATCTTTTGCTACAAATTGTCGCTAGACACTATGAAGCATTTTTTACGTGTCATTTTAGCAAAAGGTACCATCTAAAATTTGGTAAACCTTTCATACCTGAGATCTTACGTCGTCATCTAATCGCATGACCTTTTTCACTCGGGCCATAGGAAGCTCCATATGCTTGCAGTGCTCACGCATTTCGCTCTACAATAGAAAAAAAAAGGATTAGGCTGTCCCATGTTTTCCTTCGCACTATTCTTTTATTCAGTATTTTTTTCTAACTAAAATCGGCTTACTACCAAAGGCTATGGCATGCTGGAAAATGCTCTAGTAGCTTAGGCAGACACTTGGATATGACCACAGCACCATCGCTTGTCATCTAAATAAAATGGGCTAGCGCAAAATGATATTTCGATGGACACCTCATGCAATGACCGACTACGACCGCGTTGCAAATTGTGCTCTTAGCTTTGCGCGATTGGCAGGGCATGCCGTCTTGGTAACTGCTCGACAACAAGCAGGCAATCAATGACGACGACGAAGGACAAAATCCGGAAGTTGCACTTAGTAGTGCGATGAAAGTATCCAAAACGACTGTGTCTTTCCTCTGCAGGATAGCGCTCGATCCGAGACATTGCGAAGTCGACTCGTCATATTTTAGAGAAGCAAACTGTTGGGGAAGGGGGACGGGTAGAAACTTATTCCGGGTCACAAGGCCGTTAATGTGATAATGAAGCTTCGTAAACCCAATGATGTAGAGTGGTGTGCAAAAACGTTTGCGTCAGCCGGGATTTGAACCTAGATCTAACTCTTTCCGGGAGCATGTGCTATATCGTTGCACACCGGTTTAGCACATGCTCCCGGAAAGTGTAAGATCTGGGTTCAAATCCCGGCTGACACAAACATTTTTGCACATCACTCTACATTATTGGGTTTACAGAAACATCATAACACTACAATAGGCGGTCAAATAAAATAATTTCGGATTAAAGCTTCGCAAGTTAATGAATCGGACTATACCTCAGTCATATGTTCAATTTTTCGCAGTTGACTTGGCCAGAAATCTCGAACCACTTTCGTCACATCGTATAGAGGGTTAGATCTCTGTTGGCGGTTTTGTACTGTTGACGACGAAGTGGTGACGTAGCATGACGATATCGTATTTTGCTCGGGCATCAACTGTTCCGCATTGCTCATAGCTCTAAGCATAAAATCAAAATGAGCAATAATTCACGAAAAAACAGCCGAGTCTCAAAAAATATCAAACGATGGCACAACATTTCCTTAACAAAAGGAAACAGCAATGGATGTGGACTCAAATGATCTACCTTTCTCTTCGAGTTGATCACTATAGGGAAACAACATCACAATTTTTTCACTGTACGGGTCCCCGTATTTCAAGTATTCATTCTGTGTCCTCGCATTGATCGCTTGATTAAGAATTCGCCCACTTCATGAAGGCCGTGAAGTAATGGTTGAGCATATGTCCCTGTAATCTCGAGGATAGCCAGGATGGGGCTGCGAGAACCACATCGCGTCGAGCCGTGCCGAGCATCACTAGCCAGTCGGCCACCGGTACTACAAGGCTAAGTCCTTTGTCACGGCGTGAAGCGGAAACGATACACAAGTGTTGGCGCTATTCGGACGGCTTACGAATAACCGGCTCAAACCCGAGGAAAAATCCCGCACTCACCTGGTAAATTTAAACTTTAAAGGGGCTTTGTCGTCTTCAAATGATGGAATATCATTGCAGAGACATTCCTAAGAGCATTTTTAGTAAGAAGAACTCCGATGTACTCTTCGCATCCGTCCCAACCGCCCGTCAACCAAAAACGGCCACCGCAGAGAAAGAATTTACAGTACGACGAACATAGTCTCCTTACGTGGTAGCTACCTAGTCAATAAGTAACAAGGACGTTATAAAAGCGTCGACGTTAAGGATGTACATCTTTCGGTTATAAGCAATACTTCCAGATCAGCACCAGGAAACGGCCTCTTGAGATAGATTTGTGACGAAATGAACAATGACGATATCAATCACATCGCCATTTGTCAGTACATGATGATATGTAGATGCTTTTAGGACTTAAAAAAGACGATTTTCATAATCGGAAGTGCACTTACTAGATGTACAAATGTAGCTTCACCGTTTTTTGCTGCAGTAATAGTAAAAGTAAGGATATGAGGTAAGAAATAAAGATAAGATGTGAAAAGTTTAAAGATGACGACCGAAAAACGCTATTTACGGGAACTCCACTTTACAGATTTATTAATAAAAAAGGATTGAAGTTGCTTGAATTTGGTATCGTTCAATTACAAATCTTCTTGCTAACATTTTGTTATAGAACCTGCCTACACTTGCTTCAAGAAGGAGCCGTCGTGGGAACAAATTAGCTTGCTACTCATGCTCAAATGGTTCGTAGAGGGGAACGATGTCAATGAAGCTTTGCACAAGATTAGCCCCTAAGAGTCGACGTGTACCACTTGTGGTACACAAGTGTTTGAAGGTCTTTCTCCCTGAACAAAACGTTTTTCCTAGACACTTGGGTAGCATTCGAAAGCTTGAATCTCTGCGATTTCAATGATATCTTTGAATTTCGAAAAAGCCGTCTTATTACGCTGCAGCAGCGAAAACGAAATTGTTTCACACTCGCTTGCTTTATCTGCTCGACTGGGGCTTGTATAAGGCTGCTCACCAATCTTTACTAGTCATTCGAGAGGTCAAATCTCGAGAATTTCGATCTGCAATCGGTTTTTTTGGAAAGTCGTCATAGAACGTTGTGGGATCGAAAAGAATATTACGTTTCGCATTGACAGTTCTTATCGCATAGAAAAGTTAGACGTGCACGAAAAACACATGACCATGTAGAGAAAATCATGGAGTATCAGAGTAACGCAGAAATCTGAGGTGTTACCTTCCAGATAGAGGAAAAACACTATTTGAGTGGCGAAAATCGCGCGCGCCTCTTGCAAGTTGTGTTGTGCAATTGATCATCAACTGCCGTCGCTATGGGGGTTGATGAAGCTTGGAGCAAGCTGGATCTCAATGCAAGTAGATGGACAGGTCATATATCCAAATGTTCGTGAGAAAGTGGACAATTGAATCAGATACCGAGGACATCAAACTATTGCAATTCAATATGCCTGATAATCATTATTTGAGCCTCGCATGTCAGTGGTCTGTCAAACATGTCTATTGCATTTCAAAAATCATAATGAAAAACTAAAACGGCTTGAACTTTACAATTTTCCTGCACGATAATGGTCGACTTCACTTTGCAAACGCCTATCGAAAACGTTATGGAAGAGCTGAAGTTGGAGGTTCTAGAAAGTTTTAACTGACCTACCTTACTCTCCCGACACATTGCACCGCCGGATTATCACTTGAAATTATAAAAATTCACACTGTAAATTAGCAAATTTGAAATAAATGGTCTTTTCGGTTAGAGAAGTCTTATCTTAAAAGTCCCATAAAAACAATTTTATAAAATATTTTGCATATAAAAAAACACGTGAATAAATGCGCTGTTAACGAACTTTTGAACAAAAAAAAAAACTTGAACATCTTTACTTTTACTCAACAATTCTACGGTTCTTACTGTTTGTTCGCAGTGTTATGATGTTTCAAATACACCTGAGAGAATCGAGCGATGAGCAAAAATTCGACCACAGGCAGGAGTCGAACCCGCGTTTCATCCATGCCTGGGACGTGTGCTACCACTATACCACTGAAGCACCGTATCACCACCACTCATTCGTCAGTAAATTTAACATAGCTATTGCTTACACGACCAAACCTGCTATAGGTTGGTGACCAATAACTATTTTAAAGACAATGACGAATGAATCGCTTTGTTACCACCCATCAATTCGAATTATCGTAGCTGTTAATAACCAATCTTTAACGGATTTGGTCGACGAGTACATACACATTAGCAGTAAGCTCTGTTAAGCTGACCGCTATTGGATATGTATAATCTATAAAGACCCGTTATAGGCGGGTTGCTGACACAGTTACGATACTTCATATCAACGAAAGAGTGGCAGGAAAGCTGTGGTCTCGGTGGGTAGTGGTAGCACGCATCCTGGCATGGTGAGACGCGCGTTCAACTCCCCGCTGAGGACGGATTTTTGCTCACCCACTCAGTTCTCTTGGGTTTATCTTTTCTATAATTACAGCGAGAAAAAAATAGGCGGGAGGTATTTGTACGAATGATATCTTCGTGAAACCGGGAATTCACTAAGCCACGAGCCGAAGAAAAAACGACGATGGTCTCTACAGCATGGCTAACTTGGAGATCAACGTGAAAACGATTGACTCAATCATAACTGTGAAAATCCCTGAGAAAGCTGGGTGGGATCACCGTCGCCTCAGGACGGGACTGAACCACCACTGGTGAAGTCACGAAGAACCACGACCCATTTATACGACACTTTACGGTCTCAAATCACGGACACAACAACAATTAGTCGTATGAAAAAATATGCTCTAAGCACGTAACTTAGTGGCAGTGGGAAGATTTTTGAGGGGGAAATGCTGGGGTTTTGACATCGCGACGTTCTTGTGGAATTCTCTGTACAAAAACATCACTTTGTATTTATTTGTTTTATGTTATTCATCATTTTTTACGTATGGAAGTAATTGGGGGCGCTGTGGCCGAGTGGTTGTGATGCTCGTCGCGGTGCACGTGGACGCGAGCTTCACCCCCAACCCAACGGCCAGCGCCCTATGGAACGCCGCGGCCAGGCTTTCCTCGAGATAACAGGGAGACTCGCTCAACCAGCATTCTAAGCAATTCAAGAAGAAGACGAATAAACGATCGGATGCTAGAATTACTAGGATCCGCATGGAAAAAAAGTAACGCTGTGAAGACGGATCAACAAAGTGTCTAAAAAATATTTTTTCACAGTTAAAAGAATACCTTTCACTTATTCATTCATATTTTGTCGCTTGTTTGATCACTTTGTATCATTCGTATCATTTTCAATTTTCATGCATGAATTCATGCGTCTTATCTTTGTCACTTGACACCCTTTCATTTTCGTCTTTCGTCCGTGCCTAGACCCTGGTTTACCTCCTTTTTTAACCCTTTGACGACCACCAGTGGTAAGCAGGCGGCGTCGCGCCGTCGCTTTTCCACAAGACGCAATGGCGCCATTACAGTAGCTGAGCGATATTTGACGTCGCGCGGTGAGAAGCAGAATGACTCTCATTGCCCTTAAAGGGTTAACGAAATAAACAGTCATCTAAAGAGAGCATCATATCGCTTAAATTCTCTGTCACTGAAAATTCAATTTAGCCGATTACATGCCTCATCTCGCGAGACTTTAATCACTGCTCGGAGCGTTTTGAACCATGGTTTTCAAGGAGTTGTTCGTACTGTCTTTGGTTGACGTTCTTATTCAAATTGTGATGCGCTTAGATACACAGTGTTATAGAGTGATGTGCAAAACTTTAGCCCCAGGCGGGACTAGAACCCGCACCTCACTCTTAACGGATAGAGCACGGATTCCCGGAAAGAGTGAGGTGCGGGTTCTAGTCCCGCCTGGGGCTAAAGTTTTGCACATCACTCTATAACACTGGGTATATATTCATAATATCATACCACCGTAGAAAAAGCGGTTAAATAAAAACAATTTCATGTGAAGCGCTTAGTTAGTTCTCCTTGTTTTTAAATCTTTTTTGGATCATTTCCGTTATCTGTCCCCATTTTCAGCCCTCAATAAAGACTTGTTCCCTAGATTTTTTTCGAAAACTTCAGTAATCGATAGCTTGAATCTCGATGGATTCAAAAATGTCCCTTATTTTTGGAATAGTCCTTTTGTTACGCTGTAGCAGCAAAATCAATATTGTGTACCTCATTCGAGCATTTCTCAGTGACCAAAGCTTTTTCTTCAGGCTCTTGGGAACGGTTTGATAGCTTAGATCTCGACAATTCCAATGACATATTTAGTTTTTGAAAAGAACTGTTTAGTGCGCTGTAATAGCCAAGAGAAAGTTAGGTTTCGCGCCGCGTGACAGTTTCACTGAACCGCCGCGCTTCTTCCCCCTGCCAAAATTTGAGGAATCCAATCTTCTTTGGATTGTCACAGCACACCGAGAAAAAACCACGTACATCATTGGAATCGTCGAGGTTTAAGCTATCGAACGGTTAGTGAAAGTCGATGGAAAAACTTTGTTCAGCAAGAAAGTTTGGTTGAAAAACATAGTTTTTATTTTTGCTGTTACAGCGCACCAAAGAGGCTACACTAGGAATTAAGTGCATCTACAAATTTTACGAGATTCAAGCTATCGAATGACTATCAAGATCAAAAGAAAGCTAAAAATGCGTTTTTGTCGAGGACTTGGGCTGGGGACGGACAATGGGAGAGAACTTCTTTTTCTATTTGCCATTTTTTATATTTGTTGTGGCAGGGTTCAATCAAATACAAAGAAAAGTAAGGACAAAAATCAAGGAATTTAGACAACCTAGAAATGGACGATCAATTGGAAATCATTTTTATTTGACCGCCTATTGCGGTGTTATGATGTTTTCAATAATCCCAACGATGTAGAGTGGTGTGCGAAAACGTTTGCGTCAGCCGGAATTTGAACCCAGATCTCACTCTTTCCGGGAGCGTATGCTAACCGTTGCACCACCGACGCTCGTTTTGCACTCCACTCTTTCTACGCTGCAACTCGTTATCTTTCAACAGCCAACCGTCTACGGTGTGGCGGGGAAGTCATTATCGACATTGAACCCACTTTTGTTGAGAGATATTGGGTTTAAGAGTATTCGGAAAGAGTAAGATCTGGGTTCAATTCTCGGCTAACGCAAACGTTTTTGCACACCACTCTACATCATCGGGTTTAATGAACGATCAGTTGTCAGAGACTCTCATGAGGAAAATATCTCAAAGAGCGAAAGTTTAAGACGGCTGTGGTAGCATAGTGGCAGTAATGTCGTTGTGGGAAGTTCATTGGTGAGAGCATGATTCTGGTTCGATACCTACGTATGCCGGGACTCACCAAACCTCCGGTTCTTCTCGAGTTAAGAAGTCGATGCCAGGCGTGTCTGGGAATTCCGCATTCCCCCTAATCGATGTGGGTGGGAACACTCTAGCAATGCTGTTAAGTGATCTCAAAGAACGTCGAGACTTGACAGGAATTCATCCCAGCAAGAAAGTATTCACACAGAAAACTCAAAATTGCTATTTGTAATGCTAAGGTAAGTGCCAGTAGAGTGTCGATTTTCTATTTAAAATCTTTATTTTAGTGCTTTATAGAAAGTTACAAATATACAAGTATAAATCTTAATCCTTGCGGAACCATGGACCCAATGCTCTGCGTCTTTAGCCCCCAGCGTGCTGCGTCTAACAATGGCATCCTGGGGACTAGAAGTTCGTTCCCAGGTGGGAATTGGATATGACTTTTACCCAAACTGAGGCGCGTGATACCATTACTTTACCGAGGACACCGCTTTGCTTCCACTTTTTCTTCGACATGAACTAACCTAAGTGCTCACTTTACCGAACCTGTTAAAGATTGGTTGCTGAGGGCTACGATAATATCGAAGGAAGAGTGGTAGCAAGGCTGTGGTTCCGGTGGTGCAGTGATAGCACGCGCTTCCCGTATGGATGAAACGCGGTTTCAAGTCCTGAGTGAGATCGAATAGAGTTTACACCACTAGAAATTCTTAGACGTTGAGTTTCTGTGAAATCGTGGGGCAGTATTGCGAGAGCGGCGTTCCAAAATCTCTATCTGGGAAGTGAGAAGCTTCTAGACGAGTGTGATACCGATTCCTTCCTTGTCTGGATTGTTCCAAGAATTATCTTTTACTGTAATACCTGTGCTTATATAGATACTTGTTCTTGTTTGGTTGTCAATTAGCATAAATTTACTCAGTAGAAGATAAAAAGGATAACGAAGCGCTCGGCGTTGATCTATCCCTGAGGGATGCGCCATGCATTCGTCTGCGATTTGAACCTCGTTGGAGGTGACGAATGCACACTTGGCTTTTGCAATGACTCTCGGTGGCCTCCCGCTGTATCGAGGCAGTGCTGCTTATCCTCCCAAATGAGTCTGCGACTAGTCCAGTACCAATTTAGTCCCGGAGACCCCGGAGGGATGGATGGGCTTGGTGTACCAGGAGCGCAAGGTCGAATCATCGACCTTGTGGCTATCCAGTGCATCTCTAACCTCTACGCTACTCGTGCTCTTTAAATTCGGTAATATGGTTTAATTACCCAAGTTTGAGTTCCGTATGTTTCGTCTTTAGATTGCCTTGTTCTGCTTCTTGAATGTATTAGTGAGGGTTCAAAATGGCCAAGGCTGTGACATGTCAGATTCAACCTGTTCTGCTCAGTAGTAGTCCGTTAAGTAGTGGAGTGACGCTAGCAATTTCTGGTGGAACGCGTTCTTCTACCAATTCTCTATATTTGCTCGTCCAGTTTGATATTTGCGTTTTTATCTGGGAATAGCTATAGATTCTTTGCAGCATTTTGCAGACAATGACATCAAATCCAGCATTGCTGCGGGAAGTTCGCCTCTATGAGAATCATAGTGAACGAGAACAAATGGAGAATATGAGCGAACTGTTCGCTGTTCTCAATGCACTTGAATGTTTGGAGAAAATGTACAGCAGAGATTACATCTCAAATGAGGAGTACAAGAGCGAATGCTTCAAACTTTTGGATCAATACAAAGTACGTTCTATTCGAATTATCCTCCGTATAACCTTGAAGCGTAATGGGTC